CTCTTTTTCTTTTAATTTCTTGTCCGTATTGCATTACCCATAACTTAAAATTATTTGTATCCTCGTCCGCTACTTTAATACAATACATTATAGATTAATGTGTTTTTTTGTTGTAATAATNAAAAATAGAACTGCTGGAATTATATAGGCGATGCCCTATGGTTTTGAATATATATATATATATATATATATATGCACACACACATATTCTCTTGGAATTTGGTTTATAAATTTATTTGATTTTCCGAGAAGTTAACAATATTACAAAAACTCAATGTCAAATAAGAAAAAACACATAGGCTTCAAATAAAATTCTTTCGGTGTTACCCTTTCAAATATATATTTCTTGCAAATAACCCTTTTAAATGACTAAAATTAAAGCGATAAAGTAGTTTTAAATAGGATTTACAATATCCCATAATTTTAGGCATTTATTAGTCCAATTAAAAATGAAGATTTTCCAAATCTTCGAATGTGATACAAAATTAATGCATTATATTTTCTTCTTATCCTTTTAACTTTATCCTAAGTCTTTCCGAAATTCTTATTTATTTTGTCTTGTTTTACTATGTGTCTTATTCTAAAGACGCCACTTGGCACAACCATATTGCAAACTACCCTCATTTTAATATAATATAGATATAGATCGTTCTGATATAATAAATTACTTATAATATAATGATAGAGGAACATATATTTCATATCATCTAAGAATAATTAAATATTTTCAACTAGTAAGGGCCTTTTTAAACCAAGAAATGCCACCAAAAAAAAAAACAAAGAAGAAAAAGAGGAATATAAGTTCAGGAACTACTTGAATTTGTTCACCATTTCCCTCTAAAAAAGTAAAACTCAAGTTCACACCTCAACACACACAGTAACACACACAAATTCACAAGTGCCACTTGTTTCTTCCCCGTACACCTCATCAGCTGTACTGCAAAAATGGCAACCTGCTTCTCCCTTCCCGCCACTCGTACTTCCTTTATGCACTTCCCTTCCAACCCCAAATCTTACAAAATCCATTGTTCCTCCCTCACATCTCAATCCCTCTCCGCCAAGGACAATCTCCTCCGCCTTATCTCTGACCAAGAACGTGGCCTCAAGACTCAATCCGACCCGCAAAAACTCTCTGAAATAATCAAAGCAATTGACGATTTAGCCGCTATCGGACGTGACACTGTCACCACTGACGCATCCCTTTCGGCCACCTGGCGTTTGCTTTGGACTACGGAGAAAGAGCAACTTTATATTATTAAAACTGCTGCTCCCTTTTTTGGTACTAAAGCTGGTGATGTTCTCCAAGTTATTGATGTTGAAAAAGGGACTCTTAATAATGTTATTACTTTTCCCCCTGATGGAGTCTTCTTTGTTCGGTCCACTATTGATGTTGCTTCTTCTCAACGTGTCAATTTCAGGTGTGACTATTTCTGTATCATCTTGTTACGTACTATTCCCTCCATTCGAATTTATTCTTTGTTACTTTGTTAAAAATAACGACACCTTTATAGATTTTACCCCTAATTAAAAAATTTATAGCAACATAAATGTCAATATTTAAAATCACAGATCTTAAAAATCCTATAACCACACAAATGTATTTTTTGATAACTGTGGTGTTACCTGCTACCTCCCACCAGCATAAGGATCGGGTAGCTCTGTCTACCAAGGCTTGGAACATATAGTAAAAAATCAACTAGTGTTTTTGCTTCCGCTGAGATTTGAACTTGAAACTTTGTGGTCATTGACCACTAGGCACAACCTTGGGTGTAACTTATACCACACAAATATTATGACATATTTAAGATTATAAGTCTCAAAAGTCTTTCTTTCTTCCTTAAATTTTGTACCAAGTTAAACTATGTCACATAAATTGAAACAAATAGAGTATTTGGAAAGTACATCAAACGACTTCATCATAAGTAGATTTTGGAAACAATATGTAAAGATTTGTTGAAAACACTAGAACAATTTTACGTTTTTGCAAGATTACAAACGTCTTTCTAATATCCATTTTCAGGATTTCAATTGTCATGAATAAATGTCATATATACATGTTTTCCGTGGTTTGCAAAGGAAACCAGTCTCGGTACCTTGAGTTCTAGAGCAGTAGAGGAGAAAAAAGTATGAAATCCAAAATCTATATTGGTGTAATTTTTAGGCGAAAGGGACTCAATTGAACCCTCTTCACCAAAAGGTAGCTACGATGCAGGGTTTCGTAGCTACCCTTGCCCAAGTGGAGTTAATTGACACCACTTCGCCAGAAAAATATATTGTGTAGATATTCTTTTAATGTGTGTGCATATATATATATATATATATAAAATCCGCTTGGCTTCTTCGTGTGTTTATTCTTTATATTTTGAATCCATGTAGTTAAATCCTAGCTCCACTAATGGCCACACCCCTGAATTTAACATAGGATTCTCTGAATTTTATGCTAATGGTAACAGGTAATTTTCTGGGGTGTATAAAGAAGCATGTATTCGAAAGCGATGTGCTCAAATGGAGCAGAATCTATAGTGATGATTCATATGACGACCCTACTAGTTTTGGGTTAAGGCGTATTAGTAGTTTTTTGCGAATTGGTTCTATGTGTAATTGACTTTAGAAGTTAGGAGTGTCATATACAAACTGCTATAGTACTAGAGATCAGATTATTGACAAATTTCTTGAAACAGCAGAGAACAATGGTAATGGGATGAAGAGAACATTTTACCTGTCTTGGAAGTTTTCTTGTAGTTTGGAACTATTTCATGGTCTATTGACAGTTGTTGCTATGATGTAGATTCACAAGTGCAGTTCTGCGTGGAAAAAAATGGGAGTTTCCTCTGCCACCTTTTGGACAAGGGTGGTAAGTGTTTCTCTTTGCTCGTTTATTGTCTTGATCAACAGCATTTTATATTCCACTAAGTGATGTTTGGTATATTAGGAGTTTACCATATATCTGATTGAAATTTAAGTATAGTGTTTTTTCGGTGAAGTGCCTTTCAAAGTTCTGTCACACGCATTTGGTTTTTGTTCTTTGTCACAAAAATTTGTTTCTTTCTTTTTTCTATTTTTCTTTCACTTTTCCTCCACTCTCTTGCTTGATTTCAGATTACCTTTGTTTCGTTCGTGTTCAGTGATGGCTTGAATAACTTCTTGTGTAGGTTTGAGACTGTATACCTTGATGATGAGATTCGGGTAGTCAAAGATATCAGGCAAGATTACCTGGTTGTTGAACGTGCTCCTTATACTTGGAAAGAATGATTGTTGTATTTCTCTTCTGCTATCTCTGTACATAAAATTTTCTGTAAGTTCCTTTATTTGAACTCTCGTCTTCATGCTGATACATCTGAAGTCATTTAGATTTCCTGTAATGTATCCTTGTTCTGAGTGTATAGGTTTTGCAGCATCTTCTTTGTAGTTAAAGTTGTCGGTAATATTAAGTAGAGACATTTGATTTGTTGTCATAAGACCAGATAATACTAGTCACTAGATGAGGCAAATTTTGTGCCTTCATTTATATGAAATATGCAAATATATTTTGTTCAGCTTTTACCTCTATGTTAACAATATGCAATACATTCTTTTAATGATTTAGTTGTGTAGCCTGCATTAGATAGGGGTAAGGTCTGCGTACAGACTACTCTCTAGACTCCACCTGTTGGGATCATACTGGGTTTGTTGTTGTTGTTGTTGTGTAGCCTGCATATTTCCATAATCAATTATCTCCATTTATGACAGAGTGTGTGTATTTCACACTTCCAAAGGAGAGTGAGAAGAAGGAAAAAACGATTTTTCAGATTATTTTTTATTCTTTTTACCATTTTTTCTTACTTTTTTTTCCTTTTCCTTTGTCTTTTTTCTTTTACTTTTTTTTTTTCGTTTCTTCTCTAATTCCGGCGGATATTCATTCACCGGTGACTTTGTCTAACCGTTTTTCTTCCATTTTTTCTTTTCACACAAAAATTAAACTCTCAAAAAGATCTATTCATAAGCAAAGCAAAATACACTCAGATTTGCGGGAAAAAATTCATCATCAGAAAACCTTCCCACACCGGAAAAAAATTGATGTATTGAAATTTTAGCTGGAAAAAGTTTTCTCAGCTTACATTCGTTTTTATTTCTTTTGCTCTTCCTCCCAAACATAAATTACATATATATATATACACACACTTGGATCGGAATAAAAATCTGCCGCCGGAAAAAATGGTATTTGTGAAATTCCGACGACCACCATTTTATGCCGCCGGTGACCAAAACAAAAAGAAAGAGAATGAAATAACAAAATAAAAATGTGAATAATAAGAAATAAGAAAAAAGGATAAGAAAGAGAAGAAAGAATAAAAAAAATACTAAAAATACATGTGGGGGCGCGTGTAGCTCACCACTTGCCAAGAGTTTGGTTGTCAGCGTTAAAGGTGCAAATAATTATATTTTAAATAAGTTTAGGGGAGTAATAAGATTCCCGCAAAGAAAAAGTGTGTAGTTGGGAATTCGGGTATAGGTTAGGGGGTACTTATGCATTTTCCCTTAAATGTTATATTGATGTACTTATGACTTGGCACTTGCTTTATTTGATTCTTTGTGGCATCATTGTCTTTCATTCAGTATAATTTCAGTAATTTGAATACTCAAGTGATTTCTAGCTCTGTGAAGAATGACTTAACCCAATAGGTGAGCATCAACTCACATACAAATTAAAGTGGCTAATTAGTAGTTTAATCACAAAAATGTATATTACTATCTGTACTCCCTTTTTGGCTTGATATTAAATTTTGTAACTTTTTTCGATAGGTTGTTTGTTCATGTTATGAAATTGCATGGTACGAGCTTAATAATAATTTTTTGGTGTGACAAGTGTTTTAGAAGAAAGAGTTGTGTCAGCTATGGTTTTGTTTGTAAAGTGGACTTAATGGTCACTCTGATAAAAACTGTAGTTTGCCTAGTGAAGAGTAGACAGTGAATAACCACGATTTTCGAAGCATTCTGTATTTAAAAAAAAAAAAAAACTGAAGTGTTATTGGTATATCTACACCTGTTGCCTGTTTTCCCTCAGCTATTCTTACAATTGCTATTCTCGCCTCTTCACCCGTCTGATGGAAATGTAGGATCAGGAGGTTTTTAGAATCCTATGGCTTTTCACCCGTTTAATACAAGACTGTAAAAGATTATCTTGTGGAGACAAGAGAAAGTTGCCATAACCACTATCCAGTTTGCTCAAGTGGCTTGATGTGGTACTCGAGGAGACAATGTGTCAGGTTCATTCTATCTTACTTTGTATGTTCTGACTAAAAAACAGAAAAAAGGGAAAGATACCGCCAAATTTTGCTGCCTATAAACTTCTTAGGAAGTAATGAAAGTTAAGGGAGTGACTATGTTGGAACTTTTGATAGCTTGGACTTTGCATATCCTATAAAGGGGGTTCAGCACAGTGCATGGTCTGTCATGGTTCCTTCTTTGAGAAAAGGTCGAAGTTAAATGATATCTGAAGCTAGTTAAATCAGAAGGATAAAAGAGGGAGCGAGAGGAGAAGTGGCAGAAAGAATTGGCAAAAACATCACATCTTAGTCATGATTCCTTCTTTAAGGAGAAAATTGAGGTAAATACTTTACTATATGTGATGGCTACGGAGAGAGAGAGAGGAGGGGAGTGGGGTAGTATGTGTGCCATGCATGCAGAAAGATTTGTGCAACCTGCTCGCACTTCACCTCTATGGTCCTTCCCATCCCGTAAAGAAAGAAAATAAACAACAATAAGAGAAGGCTTTCTTTAATTAATGTATAAGAATATGGGTTCCCAACTAGTTTTGGATTAAGTGGTGGTAATACTTATTGTTCTATAAGAATACGTAGATATAACCTAATCATTTGGGCCTTTTGTAATGCATGATAATTGCAATTGCTTGTGAATTGTGGCAAAATGCAGTTTGATATTGAACGTTAAATTCTTTTTGTATTGCTAGTGTCATCTTATGTTGCCTAGGTTGTGGCAGTAAAAGCTGGTAAAGAACACCTTGAAGTTGACACCTTATAAACGCCAGATCTGGAGGTATTGAGAAAGGACAATTACATAGCATCTATTCTTTGTGCTTTCATTCTACAACTTCATAAATTTGTCTGCAACTTCCATACCTATCTCTGCATATGGATTTATCTTCGTACAGGCCTGCCTTTATGTAGAATTAGCTCATTGCTCATCGAATTACAGGATATGTGTAATGTGGTCACTTCCTCTGTACACTGTGATGTAGAACCTCAAAAGATCGAACCCTTAGACTTCCGCAATTATGGCATCTGTAACCGAGTGATGTGGGTTTGTCGTGAGGTGTAGGCAACCATGCATCTATTACTCCTAGATATCAATGTATGACTTCAGGTTGAGACTTTGAGCTGTACAAATAAAGGCTGAATCTTGTGGAGAGGCTTAAACATCTGTAGACTGCCATTTGATACATGTAGTTAGGCGTGGCAAAATAGTTAAAAGAAAACAGATAACCACCCATATTATCTAGGGTTGGATAATGAATTTTTTAAAAACGGGTCAAATACGGATGAAAACCATATTATCCATTTAGAAAATAGATAACTAATGGATAACCAATGGGTCTAACTTTTACATTTGTAAAGCCTCAAATTGGGGGTTCCTCAAGTAAGGGGAGTTAAGAATTCTCCCAAAAGTGATCATATGCAAGTCATGGATAATATGGTTACCATATTATCAGCTGGTTAATCCGTTTTTTATGTATTAAATATGGGTCGAGTTGGATAATTTATCCGTTTTTTCATTATCCGTTTTCGACCCGAACAATATCCGACCCAACCCGCCCGTTTGCCACTCCTACATATAGCCTTCAAGTATGAACCCTCCAAAGTAAGAGAATAAGTGCAATCTATTTCTATTGTCCTTTTCTCTTGAATCTTTGCCTACATGTATATGTATTCTTGAATGAAAAGACAACAACCAAATTATATACTATGATGAAGAGAAGCCAACTTGAACATGACTCCATCGTGACTAGCATTCCTACTTTGTATTTGTTTCTATCCCATCAGCTAGTTTGTATTTTCCTTTTCTTTTGTTTTATATCCTGCATGATATAGTTCCATTTTGAAGAAAATACCATTTGTTGTACCATTAGAGAATTGGACGAGCAGTTTGCTAGGTGCAGAACGGTAGAAATTCAAAAATAGCCAAATTTATAAGTGGTCATTCAAAAATAGCCACAGTTTCAAAAGTCATCGAAATTTAGCCATTTTTCATGTAAAGATAAATCTGAACACAAACACTGTTCAAAATTCAGAAAATATTCCAGCATAATATACTGGAGTTCTAGTATACTTTGCTGGAACTCCAGTATATTTATTATACTGGAGCCAGTAAAATATACCGGTCCAGCATAATATGTTGGAAGTTCATACACAAGTGCACTGAACTTCAGTATATTATGCTGGATCGGTCTCTGTTGCAACAAAATAGTAGCTATTTTTTAATAACTTAGCAAACGCTGGTTATTTAGTCCGAAAACTGGCTAGCCCGTGCTATTTTAAGGTACAGAACACTTCCAAATATTGGTGAGGCCTGGGCCTGGCCATAAAAAGTGTTGCACATGCTTTGCAGGCAAGACCCTCTTTTGATGATGAAATTGCATTAATGTCATAAAGTCAAATCGAATAGAACCCACCTAGGATTCACCTTTTACGTCAGAGGCAGATCCAGAATTAATGTTTTAGGTTTATTGAAGGCCGACTGCAACTTATGTAGATGGCAACATTATTAAGGTATACTTAGGGTGTGCGAAAATATGTTTTCCAATTTTTTTTTATTTTTTTATATTTGATTGCTTTAAATGTTTTGAACTCATTTAAATGATTTTCCTACCAAAAGGAANTTTAGTATGCCAATCACCAGTGATAAAGTTCGGGTGTAACTCTTTGAAATGACTATGATAATTTATCATCAAAATAAAAACATCAATATTATCAAATACCATTAACTTGAAACTAATATAAAAAAAGTACACTGTCCACTCATAGTTGAACTCGACACGCTTTCATGTTTTGAAAACGGTCAATAATAACATCATTGCTTATATTTACAAATACTTTCTTCTCAAAGTAACAAACTAAACAATCATTTAAAAATGCATCACTAATACTACTACGCAATTCATCTTTGATGTACTTCATAGATGAGAATGCTCTTTCCACCGTTGCAGTTGCGACAGGTAAAATTAAAGTAAATTTCACAAGCAAATAAACAAGTGAATAAGTCTCCACAAGATTTGCCTCAACCAATGCTTTTGCCAAATCACCAATTCCTTTTAAATCAGAGAACTTAGGGTCACCATGTTGCATGTGCCATATGAATGTGCCAAGTTGTCGACTAAGATCTTGAAGCTTCAATTCACCAAACTCATCGGGATAATGCTTGGCCAATGTTATAATTCTTTCACTTATAAAAATTAGCAAATGAATTAACCGGATTTAAGCTAGCCATACCAAGAAGCAGGTTACTACTCACAACATCAAAACGACTATTAAGCTCCAGAAGTTGCAAATCAATCACGGCATAAAAAAGCTCAACACGTAAGTGATGTGAATAAGTAACACTAGAAGGCCTACGCTTTGACTTTCCAGGAATATAGAATTCTTCCATCTTAGGCACCAAAATATCATGTTTTGCACAAAATAAATATACTTCATCCATCAATGGTTCTCATCCTTTATCACTCATTTCTTGCAACATTTCTTTTGTGATATCAAGAAATACCATGGCAATGACAATATCTTGATCTTTCTTCTGTAAAGCTTTGCTCAACTCGTTTGACATTATCAAAAATTTCAACATTAAGTGAAGCAAGAAAACAAATTCAAATGCTTTAATTTACTCAAAAAAGCTTCGGCTTGCAACCTATCATTAACATCACCCTCACATTCAATCACCCCAAGCACATGAACAATAGAAGAAAATAAAATAACAAAGTTATCCAATGTTTTACAACATGATCCCCAACGAGTGTCACCTGGCCTTTGAAGCCCTCGCTCTTGATTTAATCCTTTCCCACTTTGAACTTCACCACTCTCTAACAATTGCTCCAACAATTCTGCTTGATGATCCCGAAGTTGATCTCTACGCTTAAAAGAAACTCCAATTACATTCAACACGTTAGTAACAATAGCAAGAAAGTCTCTACCTCCTTGTGTTTTTTAGCAACAGCTACAAGCGTCAACTGTAATTGATGTGCAAAACAATGAACGGAATATGCCGATGGAGTTTCTTGCAAAATTAAAGCTTTAAGATCATTCATCTTTCCCTGCATATTACTAGCCCCATCATAGCCTTGTCCACGTATTTTGGACGGACTTAATGAGTGTTTTATTAGCAAAGAAAGTACTGCTTCTTTCAACGACTTTGCAGATATATCACTAACACGAACAAGACTAATAAATGGCTCGTTCACTTGGCCTTTTTTGTCAACATACCGCAAAGCAAGGGCCATTTGTTCATGATGTGAAATATCCTTGGACTCATCAACTAATATCCCAAAATAATCTCCATCCAAATCATCAATTATAGCTTTCATGGTCTCTTGTGCACAAGCACTCACAATATCCTTTCGAATTTTTGGCAAAGTCATCATATCATTTTTTGGAGCATGTTTTAATATAATTCTATCTACATTTGGAAGCCTATTTCCAAGCCATTCCAAAAGCCCTAGAAAAAGGCCTTTGTTTTTTGAAGATTCACTTTCATCGTGACCACGAAAAGACAATCCAAAGTTCAAGAGAAACCTTGTAACATCGATTGAGGCATTTAAACGAATTCGATATTCAGTTTTTTGTTGATCAGATTGCTTTTCAAAAGCAGCATGAATTGATTGAGATTGATTTGACAAGTCTAGCATATTGTTGAAACACTTATGATGGAGATTATTTACTTTACCAACATGTAGACCAAGTCTTTCGGTTCCTTTATTCCAAGCCTTAAAGCCGATTTTTGTGAAAGAGTCACCTGTGCTTCCATGAACTTAATCATTTTTGAATAAATAACAACATAAACAAAATGCGGCATCTTTCTTCACACTATACTCTAACCATCTAGAATGCGAACCTTTAAACCAACCCGGACTAAATTGGCGCATTTTCTTCCCAAATAAAGTTTTAGAAAATTTGTGATCAACTGGTTGGCAAGGCCCTCTTTGGATGTAGTGTTTTCTCACTTCATCCCGTATTCTAGAGCTATATCTATCAATGGGTATTCTCTCTATGGGGTCAGTATTAAGTGATTTCACATCAAACTCCTCTACAAGATAGGAGGAATTGTCTCTAAAACTAGAACTTGGTTGAGATGAATTAAACCTCGTCAAAAATATATCCATCTCAATTCACATCAACAGAACTTCCTACAAAGCAACAATGCCAATCAAAATAACATTTTTAATATGATTAATCACACTCCTTATATTAATACTAAAATAGAAATAACGTATTATAGGGAATCACACCCCTTCCATCTAAAGAGCAACTTCAAAGTTTAGTGCAGTTGATTGGGAAACATGAAGTATTAATATTGTTATTATTCCTTTCTTAAGTTGTATTATATGTATCAACATGAGATCGAGCAAATAGGAGCAGGGAATAAATGGACTTGGTTTCAAATACATTTCTGAATCGTCCACTTCACTTCACATTTCTGTATTATGTCCACTTCACATTTCTGAAAGTTATTCTTGAAATTCAAATACAACTTGGTTTTAAATCGTCCACTTCACTTCACTAAAACAATATTTCAAATAGCATTAGCACAAATCTTCAAATACCTATGAAATTAATGTATTAAGAGAAAATAATTAGGGATATTTTGATTGGGGAAGAACGTAAGTCAATAAATCTGCCCATAAGTCATAATCAATCTGGGTCAATTGCTAATCTAGGTCAAAATCACAAAAATCAAAAAAATAATATTTGTAAAATGAAGAAAAACTTACTCAAATAATCAAAGATTTGAAGAAGGGTCTCCCTCACCTAATAAGGAATTGATTTGAATTCAGAGGGATGCAAAGAAATGAAGAAGTGAATGACAGAAAGTTGGAAAGGAAAGTTGAAATTGAAGGGTTTAAGACTTTCAGATGGATAGTATCATACTAAGTAATAAAGTTAATAAGTAATTAAATAATCATTCAATTTTAAAAAGTAAAAATAAAATAATATGGATTGCAGGACCCCAAATTCGAATCTTCGTCCTCGAACGTGCCAAGAGTTGTTCCAAAGTCATCAAATCATTGTATAACCTTATCATGCACATACCCGAGGGTGATCCCAAAGCAAAAAAAGGCAGCTACTCCCACAAACCAACTCTTCTGTCCAGTCTTNCGGATGCCGGTGACCCCCACCCCCTAGCGTAGGTCCGCCCCTGTCCACCCTCGCCATCGCCACTTCAGCCCCCTCCTCTTATCCTTCATTTCTTTCATAAGGCAAGGCGAACCTGTAGCATTTCGAAAATAATTGGAGGCTCAAAACGAATGGTCAAAGAAATTGATGATTCGTGGTTAGTCTCCGATCTTCGCCTAGTCTTAGAACCTGCACTGTTTGGGGACAGGGAACCAACCGAACGAACTCGATTTCTCGAAGAAAAGAGAGGGCGCTCTTCTAATATTTAGCTCCTAGCTGCTTTTCTTTTCTATTTTCAAAAGCCTTGGACACTCAAGAAATCTGTTGGACAGGAAGATTCACATCTCTTACAACCAACACAGTCCTATGTTCGTGGAGCAGAAGCAATTTGTTTAGCCTTACAACCGTCCCCTAGATCCTGATCTATCATCCTTCCCCCCTTATCCGTTTTGTCTCTCATAGTGTTTTTCTAAATTATATATATTTCAAAAAGAATTTTGTGCTACTTAACCAAATACCAAAAAATAAATAAGAAAATCACTTATTTTTCAAAAGAATATTTTCGTGAAAAATATTTTCCTTCCTACCAAACACACGCTAAGTGCTCATGATTCTACTGTCTTAATCTATACTATATTAAAAGTGGGAAGCCCTTAATTGAAAAGTTAAATTATCATAATACCCCTACTAAGAAACCTAATTAGTATTTTAAATAACCTTACACTAGTTAATGAAATAAAATTAACTAGAGAAGCCAACGCTTCAACCAAAAAAGAAACGAAGCCAACGCTTCATAAAGAGAAAGAAAAAAGCCAACGCTTCACATGCACTTTTGGCAGAAAACTCTCTTCGCCGAATTACCAAATAAATTAAAGTGTCTTTTCTTAATAGTTGCATCCTTTTGATTTGTGTACGAGTACGAGTCTAACACATGTAACATTTAAGACAAATTTGCACTTAATGAAAGTCAATCTTTGGATTGGCTTTTAAGCCGGTCAAATTAGCTTTTAAGTTTTTTTTTTAAAGTTTTTTTCTGTGTTTAGCAAAGTCAAAAAGTACTTAAAACAAGTTAAAAATTGCTTACAACAAGCCAAAAGCAATATCTGGGCAATCCCAACTTACTGTTTTTTGGCTTAAAAGCTGTTTCTACTTAAAAGCTACTTTTTTTAAGTCAATCCAAACGGGCAGTGAGGCACCGTACTAAGGAAAAAACACTAACGCCTACAAATAACCTTAACCAGCACTTCATACTCCTATTTACCGTTGTTGTAATTACTTTTGGTGGTGTCTTGCACATGACATCATGGGAGTTTATATTTCTTTGTCTCCATCTCCCTTTCTTATACAACATTACTTAAGATCGAAAAGGGTTGTACTGTGTTTTAAAATTTTTACGGCATTTTAAGCCATGATCCAGAAACGGAATTGAAAGTGTCGGCGTTTGGGGCAAGCCTACTTTATTATCTTTAGAAAGATTGAGAATCAATTCTTCATAACTTTGGTGACAGTGTATCTATAAGTATTTAAAAAAAAAATTCTTTTTTGTATGGCTTGACAATTATTCTTTTGGTAATTAGTGGCTTGACTTATTTGATGACTTTCTGTTAATGCTACACTGACAACAAGGCAGTGTTTTGCGTTTACTCCATCTTATATTTGGAGACTTGTTTCAAATCGTTGTAAAAGGATTTTCAAGTTAATTAAATCTTTCAAGCAATGATACTTATCATAAGCAGTCGAATCATTGCTCAAATAACACTGTTAACAAATTTGGTATACAACAAATTGGCAAATATCCTGGAATCAGCGCGGATCTACATGGAATATTATGAGTGCTTAAGCACTTATTGTTTTTTTTTTAAAATCAAATTTAGTAGATTTATACAGGCAATTATTTAAAAATAAAAAAGGCATTGTGTGAGCACCCATAACAAAATTTCTTTTCTCTCTTCTTTTGAATTTTTTTTGGACGAGCACCCATAATTTTAAAGATCGGGGATTACACTGCCTTAGGCATTAACAATTGGCTTCTTGACCAGTGAATAACTTTGACCTTAGAATATTAACTTAGTGCTTGATACATCACTGTTAATGATTACATGGTTAGAGATAAATTTCAATTGACCAGCCGTCCAGCATAACATAATACTATCGTTATGAATAACAAGAAATACAATGTGCTTTCTCATATGATATGTTCCACGTATACTGGCTCTATGACTTTGGCAGTCACGTCACTCAGAAACAAAAAGTTATTTCTTAAGGTAGAGTTTAGTTTTTTTTATGGAGGCGCTTCCGATTCTGTCGGTGCTTGAAACAATTTTGTCTTCTCCATATTACTATATCCTAAAAATGACTCTTTAGGAGCAGTTTTAGAAGGTTAGTCTGAATAGACTTTTGTCTAACAACATCCATTCTCACTCTTTGAAGAATTAATATGTTCAGTCTAAGTGAATGCATCAGTTATCAATCTTCAGCTACATCTTCCGGCCAACCAATCAGGTACTATATATAAAGAACAAAATTTTATAGCATTTTCTTTTTTCTTTTTAATTATGCCGATTTCTTTTTTAAATACGTCAATATATCTTTATTGTAATTTGTATATCAAACACTTAGTGAATCAAACATAAGAAAGTGTCATGGTAATGGACAATTTCAAGCACGCATTATGCTTACCGAGTATCTTAGGATATGTTCAATAGATAATGAGGTATGTTATGTCTGCCATAATATGTTTCCTTACAAGGTCAACTTTATGTTGCTCTTTTACGAGGAAGATTAGTAGTGACAATAAGAATTTTGGTGATGATAGAGTAACCAAAATTGATGTAAAAAATGTACACCAAGGAGGCAAGGATATTGTTTATATGAAAGAAGTATTAGGTGGGTTGCGTTTCATTACATATTTTGTACATCATAAAATCAAAATTAGTAAAAAATCACACGTCTAAATAAACATTTATTGCTGATTTTTGTAGTTCAGATAAGAGGCGGATCATGGATTTTAATTTTATGGGTTCAGGACTTAGGTATCAATCGTCGAACCTATTATCTTACTTATTTGAGCTATGGGTTCATAGTTCAATATTTTTAGCAATTTAAATAAGTTCTAAATAGATAAATTTAAGTCTAGGCTAAAAGTTGTGGGTTCAAATAAATCCACATATTGGTTACTAGATCCACCCTTGGTTCAAATGATATTCAATCATCTGACTTCAACAAATAAGTCACCATACATACGACGATACACATTATTAATTATTCTACACTAATCGTGGACTACATTACTAGGCATACACGTGTCAAGAAACTAGTTGCTAAAAATGCTAATAGCGGTTGTAGATGAGAAGAGGTCCAATTTTCTTCGTATTAATCACTGTCAAGTGATGGGTGGTTAAGATCATGTTCAAGAATCCTATAATCACTTATTCAATCACTGTTTTAAAATGATAATCTGAAATCCAAAAGTATCAACGAGAAACCATTGAGTCAATAAAGTGTAACTAATTAA